TCCGTCAAAAAAAAAAAAAAAGAAAAGTAAAGCTCAGATCTTAAGTAACTAGTTCATGGTCACAGAGCTGGAAAGAGGAAGAACTATCAATCAAACCCAATTCTCTGTCCCTTAATTCATTCAGTTCTGTCACTATGTATCAGAGCGAGGGCATGAAAAGGGTGGAGGGAGAAGAGCTAGCGTAGGGGTATGCATCTCACATGTTGAGATGCCAGGTTCGTTTAATTAGGGAACACTTTACATCTCTCTGATGTTCTCCAGTATATGCTGAGAACCATTGCTACCCTTTGTTGATTTTTTTCGAGATGGGGAGTCTCACTATGTTGTCCAGGCTGGAGCGCAGTGGCGCGTTCATAGGTGCACTCACAGCACAATACAGTTTGAACTCCTGGCCTCAAGCAATCCTTCTGCTTCAGCCTCATGAGTAGATGGGACTACAGATGTGCCACCATACCTGGCTCCTAGCTACCCTTTAAACTTTACTGAATGTCTACTTGTCAGGAGAGAAACCAGCCTTCCTTGAATGTGGTCTGAAGGATGCCCACGCCTGAAAAGGGTAAGAGAGAGATACCTAAAAAAGGTTCCCAGAACATCCCTTTCCTAAAATTACACAAGTTTGGGAGCCTCTGCTGCGTACTCTGACCCCTTGTTTAATGTATTTCTCCACTCTGTAAGGTGATTTTCTTCTCCTCTTAAGACTGTAGTAGTCAATTTTCATCCTATTTTGCATGCGGTTAAATGTTTTCATTGGGTATCTTTAAAATATTGCTTCAGATTAATGGAGAAACTACACACTGAAAAATAAACTCAATAGAACAGGCTGAAATTGTAACCATAAACAAGAGTCATTACCATCACTGCCTTTGTGTAGATATCCATTGGTAGGAGGCATAAGTTGCTGATGACTTCCTGCCTCAGAGTTGCTATAGCCTTCCTGTGGCTCAGACAGCGTTCCTTGGGAAGACAAGTAGCTAGGAATGTCTGCAGGCAGATTGAGCTCCTCTGTAAAAGAGACATCTTTAACTCTCAAAGGTAGGCAGTTGAAGCCAACACTCTGACTATTTTGCAAATATGTTCGTTTTGATACCATTGGCCAGAAAAACTGTATGTACCTAGGACACCAACAGCTCTTGGTATTTCCCCTAAAACTACTTCTCACTGGAATTCTTCTCAAAGCTTCACTATAAAAGTTTCACAGAAAGAAACAAAACCTAAAAGTTTAAATCTTATCTATAGCCACAGTTTCACGGTCTATCTGACTAGATTTCTTCTCTTGTAGGATTTCTGGGTGAGAAGTATAAAAAACTGACCTCAATGATCCAGCTTGATATTCAAGGAAAAGAAAAGAGAGCCTGATCTCAATCACGAGGGCTCCTCTCTTCCTTACAGCAAAATTATGATGAAAGGAGCCTCAGACATTAAAGAGAATGCATCTGTAATGCGTTTTTAAGAGTAAAGTTTTAGGGTAGCATTTATAAATTCTTAAAATTGGTAAGACACGGTGGCTCATGCCTGTAATCCCAGCACTTTTGGAGGCCAAGGTAGACAAATTGCTTGAGCCCAGGAGTTTAAGGCCAGCTTGGACAACATGGCAAAACCCAACTCTACTAAAAATATAAAAAATTAGTCAGGCGCAGTGGCATATGCCTACAATCCCTGCTTCTCAGAATGCCAAGATGGGAGAATCACCTGAGCCTGGGAAGTCAAGGCTGTGGTGAGCCATGAATGTACCAATACACTCTGACCTGGGCGACAGAGTAACACCTACCTCAAATAAACAAAATTCTTTCCTCAAAGAGGTTCTGTTATGAACCTATTCCTCAAAGAGTTTCTGTTATATCAAAGAAGTTGAACATTTTAACAACAACAAAAACTCCCTTCTATCACATTATCAGGTATCACAGCTCTTCAGTTTTCTGAGGAGAAGATGAGGTCTTGCTAGGTTGATTGGTTGGCCTTGAACTCCTGGGCTCAAGCAGTCCTCCCATCTCATTTTCAAGTAACTGGGACTACAGGCATGTACTACTATGACCAGCTCAGTTTTCTACATCGTACAATTAATCCTACACTACATTACTGACTCAAGTACAGGCCATAGGTGTCATCTGGGTACTACTTACCTGTGTTTGTGATACTATAGTCTTCATTTTTCCTTCTCATGTGGTAAATAACAATGACCCAGATCAAAGAGGTACCCACAACACAGCAGACCACAACAATGATGACAATGCCAACTGTGGTCCAGCCATCATCTTCATGCCCAATGCTACTCTGGGAAGAGTCACAATTGGGGGATGAAATGACATTTAGGTAAATGTGGCCACGTTCTGTCCCAAGGGTGTTAGACATAATGCAGGTATATTTCCCAGCATCATCTAGCCCAGCATCTACAATGATGAGAAGCTGATTGGCTGCAGCAAAGAAGTGTCGTTCTGTCACCAGCAAAGGTCCATCATCTTTGGTCCAGTTGAGGCGAGGGGCAGGACTCCCTCCAGCTATGCACTGTAACACTGCAGTTTCACCTCGGGTTACTGTCTTATCCTCCAGGGGTCTAATAAATGAGGGTGTCTCTAACAGGAAAATGTTAAAAAAAAAAAAAAAGGAAAGAAAAGTTAGGCAATTTTATTCCCTAATTCTTACTGAATTAGACCAATGAGGGCATAATAAAATGTGTAAGTTTATATACCCATGGGAGGATTAGAGGTTAATGTTTCAGAACAAAATGCCAAAAAAAGCCTAAATCTTTCCTCAGTAATTCCAACTTAGGCAAGTTATCCTAAGTAAGAAGTTCGGAGCAGCTGCAATAGCTAGAGAAGGTCAGCAGGGGTGACCTATTAAAAAAGGTTAATAATATCAATTCAAGTATAACCTTAAAAAAAAAAAAAAGGTTAAAAATAACTTTAAAGGCCAGTCAAGGTGGTTCATGCCTGTAATCCCAGCACTTTGGGAGACCAAGGTGGACGGATCATGAGTTAGAAGTTCAAGACCAGCCTGGCTAACATGGTGAAACTCCATCGCTACTAAAAAAAATTACACAAAATTAGCTGGGCATGGTGGCCGGTGCCTATAATCCCAGCTACCTGGGAGGCTGAGGCAGGAGAATCGCTTGAGCCTGGGAGGCAGAGTTTGCAGTGAGCCGAGATCGTGACATTGCACTCCATCCTGGGCAACAAGAGGGAAACTCCATCTCAAAATAATAATAATAATAATAATAATAACAACAACAACAACAACTACTTAAAAAGAAAGGAATTCAAAGGTTTATATGTAAAGATGTTTATTACAAAACTTGTTGTAATTTTAAAGACTAAAGAAAAATATTTAAAAATCTAACAGAAAAAATGATTAAGTAAATTATAGTATAGTCACATGATGTTTTACAAAGACTTTATTTAATGACAGGGTAACTTGTGGTACAATATTAAATGAAAAAAATGTAGGTCTATTTAGCTACCTACATAAATCAAGCTATTTTGGAAAAGCTTTTGCAGGAAAGAAAAAGACTTTCAGGGGAGAGTCTGAATAAATATGCTAAAATCCTTAAGTGTTTAAAAAAAAAACAAAAACACTGATGTCTAGGAAAATAGAGAACTAGAAAGTAGAATTTGCATTGGATTTGATTTTCATGAAGAAAAGTATTCTAATAAGGAAGAAAAAACAAAACAAACAACAACAACAACAACAACAACAACCCCAAGCAAGCCAGGGGAAGCGTTTAGGGAAAAAAAGGCATCTTACCAGAAATATGGTTAAGAAGAACAGACTGAAAAGGAAAGCAGAAACTCTAACCAGGAAACAGGTCTTTTTTGAGACAGAGTCTCGCTCTGTTGCCCAGGCTGGAGTGCAGTGGCGTGATCTCAGCTCACTGCAACTTTTGCTTCCCAGGTTCAAGCATTCTCCTGCCTCAGCCTCCTGAGTAGCTGGGACTACAGTTTAGCAGAAATGGGGTTTCACCATGTTAGCCAGGATGGTCTCCATCTCCTGACCTCATGATCCGCCCACCTTGGCCTCCCAAAGTGCTGGGATTACAGGCGTGAGCCACCGGGCCCGGCCTTTTTTTTGTATTAAATTTTTTTTTTTAAATGAACGAGAAGCAAACAGTTAAATTGTCTTAGGTTTCTATCAAGCAATAAGTGAAGCAGTATCAAATGGCTTGGATACTCCTAAAAGAACAGTGGAATTCCCAATGCAAACTCACTGAATAGTAAAAACACCTACATGAAATAGAAGCCTTACAGAGACTTAAAAAGATAAGATGATAATGGAATTTGAACTTGCAATTATGTGATATAGATGACTACCTAATTTTGCCCTATGTATTTTCCTACATTTCAGTTATCTGACCCACTAATTCCTAGACTGACATAACCCTACATAAAATTGTGAAATAAAATAACGATCTAAGAATCACAGAGGTACTCTCAAACTTATTTTTCTTGCTCATTCAGACCAAGAGTAGTTCCCAAAGACTCCAACAAAAGCAGGGACCCATGGAGCAGTAAACGTACCTAACACTGTTAGTGAGGCATTTGCTGAGAGACCTCCTGCTATATTTCGTGCCATGCAGCTATAGATTCCCATGTCTTCTATTTTCACATTGGCAATAAAGAAGACGTCATCCTCTGGCATGACGTGCATGCGCCTTTCTCGAGCTGCAGGAAAGTCAGTACCACCATCTTTCTGCCAGGAAATCTGAGGTGCAGGGTGTCCTTCTGCAGCACATTCTAATCTGGCCATGGCACCAGTGCGAATAGTCAGATCCATTGGCGTTTTCAGAAAAGATGGCATCGCTGTTTCCAGAAAGATCACCAACAAAAAGTGGACAAGGGAACAAAGACACATATATGCATATAAATAGGCATCAAAGAGTCTAGTAGGCAGATCACCCCCTAATGTTCCATTTCTCTAGATTGACAGTGAATATAGTTTTATAAAAAACAAAACAAAACTTTAGAGATAGGGTCTTGCTCTGCTGTCCAGGCGGGAGAACAGTGGCGCAATCATAGCTCACTGCAGCTTCAAATTCCTGGCCTCAAGCTATCCTCCCACCTTGGGTTCCCAAAGTGCTGGAACTACAAGCCTGAGCCACAGCACCTCACCAAGAGTGAATGTGGTTTTGAGGCCATGTTTTATTCCAGAACCTCAGAGTATTTGGAGCACACTGATGACTGTCTCTTCTAGGATGCATGATACATTTAATCATCAGCTGAAACTAGGGAAAGCAGAAGGCCACAAATCTTCTTGAACTTTATATTTCAGAACCTGATATTTATTATGACCCCCTCATTTATGAAGCTAAATGATGCTTCCCTGGGAGGCTGAGGCAGAAGAATCGCTTAAACCCAGGAGGAGGAGGAGGTTGCAGTGATCATGCCACTGCACTCCAGCCTAGGTGACAGAGCGAGACTCTGTCTTAAAAAAAAAAAAAAAAAAACAAAAAAACGATGCTTCCCAAACCAACATCTACAAAGTTATCAAGGAAAAGAAACTGCATGCTAAAAAAAATACTATGCCTTCAAAAGTATCATTAAAAAACATAGAAGTGAAACATAAGTACATCTTTTGGTTGCACAAAGCCTAAAATATTGTAGTTATTCAATTTGATAGGCAATAGATAAATCAATGTATTCTGGAGAAGCTTTTGCAGGAAAGAAGAGTATTCATTTTTAAAATTATCCCATATGGAGTGGAAAACCAAACACTGTATGTTCTCACTTATAAATGAGAGCTAAGTATGAGTACACAGAGGCATACAGAGTGGAATAATGGACTTTAGAGATTCCAAATGGAGACGGTGAGAGGAGGCTAGGGGTAAAAAAACTACACTTTAGATACAACATACACTACTCGGTGATGGGTGCACTAAATACTCAGAATTCACCACTATAATTCATCCATGGGAAACAAACCCACTTGTACCCCAAGCTACTGAAATAAGGCTGGGTGCAGTGGCTCACACCTGTAATCCCAACACTTTGGGAGGCTACAGTGGGCAGATCACTTGAGCTCAGGAGTTTGAGACCAGCCTGGCCAACATGGTAAAACCCTGTCTCTACTAAAAATACAAAAATTAGGTGGACATGGTGGTGCACATCTGTAATTCCAGCTACTTGGAATTACAGGAGATAGGAGAATCACTTGAACCTGGGAGGGAGAAGTTGCAGTGAGCCGAGATCACACCACTGCACTCCATCCTGGGTGACAAAGCAAGACTCAGTCTCAAAAAAA